CTACTTCCCCTCACTGGCCACTTTATTAGAAACCCTGACCTACAACCTCCCTTCACTGACCACTTCTACTTCCCCTCACTGGCTACTTCTAATTCCCTTCACTGGCCACTTTATTAGAAACTCTGACCTTCTACTGCCCCTCACTGGCCACTTTATTAGAAACCCAGACCTTCTACTTCCCCTCACCGGCCACTTTATTAGAAACCCTGACCTTCTACTATCCCTCACTGGCCTCTTTATGAGAAACCCTGACCTTCTACTTCCTCTCACTGGCCACTTTATTAGAAACCATGACCTTCTACTTCCCCTCACTGGCCACTTTATTAGAAACCCTGACCTACTACCTCCCTTCACTGACCACTTCTACTTCTCCTCACTGGCTACTTCTAATTCCCTTCACTGGCCACTTTATTAGAAACTCTGACCTTCTACTGCCCCTCACTGGCCACTTTATTAGAAACCCTGACCTTCTACTTCCCCTCACCGGCCTCTTTATTAGAAACCCTGACCTTCTACTTCCCCTCACTGGCCTCTTTATTAGAAACCCTGACCTTCTACTTCCCCTCACTGGCCTCTTTATTAGTGTAGTGTATATTCCATCTACCGCGTCCTTTCACTCACTGGCTGCTTTATTAGAGACCCTGACCTTCTGTGAAAAGTAAGCACAAATTTTTTCTGTTATCCTACATTTTTCTTGCATTTATTTTCCTGTGTAAAACACTTCTACTTGAACTTCCAATTCCCCTCACTGACCACTTTATGAGAAACCCTGACCTTCTACTTCCCCACACTGGCCACTTTATTAGAAACCCTGACTTTTTACTTCCCCTCACTGGCCACTTTATTAGAAACCCTGGCTTTCTACCTCCCTTCACTGGCCACGTTTTTAGAAATCCTGACCTTCTACTTTCCCTCACTAGCCACTTTATTAGAAACCCTGACCTTCTACTTCACCTCACTGGCTTCTACTTCCCCTCACTGGCCACTTTATTAGAAACCCTGACCTTCTACCTTCTACTGGCCACTTTATTAGAAACCCTGACCTTCTACTTCCCCTCACTGGCTTCTACTTCCCCTCACTGGCCACTTTATTAGAAACCATGACCTTCTACTTCCCCTCACTGGCCACTTTATTAGAAACCCTGACCTACAACCTCCCTTCACTGACCACTTCTACTTCTCCTCACTGGCTACTTCTAATTCCCTTCACTGGCCACTTTATTAGAAACTCTGACCTTCTACTGCCCCTCACTGGCCACTTTATTAGAAACCCAGACCTTCTACTTCCCCTCACCGGCCACTTTATTAGAAACCCTGACCTTCTACTATCCCTCACTGGCCTCTTTATGAGAAACCCTGACCTTCTACTTCCTCTCACTGGCCACTTTATTAGAAACCATGACCTTCTACTTCCCCTCACTGGCCACTTTATTAGAAACCCTGACCTACTACCTCCCTTCACTGACCACTTCTACTTCTCCTCACTGGCTACTTCTAATTCCCTTCACTGGCCACTTTATTAGAAACTCTGACCTTCTACTGCCCCTCACTGGCCACTTTATTAGAAACCCTGACCTTCTACTTCCCCTCACCGGCCTCTTTATTAGAAACCCTGACCTTCTACTTCCCCTCACTGGCCTCTTTATTAGAAACCCTGACCTTCTACTTCCCCTCACTGGCCTCTTATTAGAAACCCTGACCTTCTACTTCCCCTCACTGGCCTCTTTATTAGAAACCCTGACCTTCTACTTCCCCTCACTGGCCTCTTTATTAGAAACCCTGACCTTCTACTATTCCAAAAAAGTGTGGTAAATAAATTTTAGAAACTTGACAAACCGGCTGCAGTTTGCCGAATGTGTTAAAGCTGTAAGCCACAGAAGTGTGTATGACTGAGTCTGAGTGAGAAATAAACAAAGTGTCACACATTTGATGTGAAAGCCCTTGTGGTGGAAGCATCTGCCTTTAAACGTATTACCTACCCATCAAACAGCATTCAGAATGAGCGTGATTGCTGGGATTAGAGCAGTAGTTGAGTTCAGCTCCATGTTTGAAGCATTAGTACAGTCTCAAACATAAAAGGGATGGAGAAATCCCCCCAAAGCTCATTTTTGTGATTCACTCTGATGGGGTTTGTGTAATTTCTTTTGTTTCTTTTTCCCTTACAGCAAAATAATATCTTAGCCAAGTGAAAACATCTTGAATGTGGGGAATTTACACTCACTGGCCATGTCCAGTGTATATTCCATCTACCGCGTCCTTTCACTCACTGGCTGCTTTATTAGAGACCCTGACCTTCTACTTCTCCTTACTGGCCACTTTACTAGAAATGTCTACCCTCTACTTCCCCTCACTGGCCACTTTACTAGAAACTTGTACCCTCTACTTCCCCTCACTGGCCACTTTATTAGAAACCCAGACCTTCTACTTCCCCTCACTGGCCACTTTACTAGAAACTTGTACCCTCTACTTCCCCTCACTGGCCACTTTACTAGAAACTTGTATCCTCTACTTCCCCTCACTGGCCACTTTATTAGAAACCCTGACCTACTACCTCCCTTCACTGGCCATTTTATTAGAAACTCTGACCTTGTGCTTCCCCTCACTGGCCACTTTATTAGAAACCCTGACCTACTACTTCCCATGCCTGGCCACTTTATTAGAAACTTCTATCTTCTATTTCCCCTCACTGGCCACTTTATTAGAAACCGTGTACTTCTACTTTCCCTCACAGACCACTTTACGAGGAACCTTGACCTTCTACTTCCCCTCACTGACCACTTTATTAGAAACCCTGACCTTCTACTTCCCCTCACTGACCACGTTATTAAAAACCCTGACCTCCTACTTTCCCTCACTGGCCACTTTATTAGAAACACCTACCTCCTCCTTCCACTCACTGCCCACTTTGTAAGAAATACCTACTTCCACTCACAGATTGTAGCCCATCTGTTGTCAAGCACAATTTGTTCTGCACTCTTGACCCCATTTATCACTGGCCAGTTTCTGACCACGCAACCACTGTTGACCAAACTGCAGTAGCTGGGGTTTTTACACACACATCAGAGTCACTGCTAGGTTAAGAGTGGACAACCACCCTGAAATATCTAGCCAACAGAAGCTCTGTGGTAAGAAACCACTGATAAAAGAGCAGAGGATGGCTGAGACAAACTGTGCCTCAACAGATGGACTACAGTCTCTAACTGTACACCAGCAAGGTGGAGCTGCAAGGGAGGGGTTTCTGATAAAGTGGCCAGGATACGTGTCCTATATTTCTCATTCTTTCACTTAGTAAAACACTGTTCAACCTGTTTCTAGATGCTTTTTGCTTATTTTAATTATTTAAATCCTATAAGCATAGGCACAGTTATGCGCTAATGAAATATGATAATTTCACTTAATTTAAGTAAAAACATTTAAAAATAGGTGGAATTATCTTATAATAATCTCACAATCTCAAGAAATATAAACTATATTGTCCACACTCAAGATGTTTCAACACGCTAAGACATCACCAGTTCATGTGGTCAGCTGTGACACAAACCTGCTGAGAACAGAAATCACAAAAACGCTGGAATAATATTTCACAATTTAGGCAGCGGAAACGAGGAACAGAAATTGGCACTTAAAAAGGCACTGCGTCTTCTTCATTACTGGACAATCACAGAGTGACAGGTCCATTTGAAGTCACCAATTTCTGCTCAGGAAAAAGCAATCAAATCAAATCAAGTCAGTGAACATGGCTAGTGGTTACCTACCCTCTTCCTAACTTCTATCCCCTTGTGACTGGACAACATGCAAAAGGTGGGTAAGGGAGGGGGGGGGTTGGAAAGGGAGGAATAAGGGGAGGAGGGGTGAAGGTAGTAGGGTGGGGGTCATCAGTTCTGGTCTAGGGGGGCCACCATTCAGCAGAGTTTGGTGATTTCAATGCACTAATATACCTACTAAATGATTCTTTATGAAACAATGCATTGGGGGATGTTTGAGGCCCCTAGGATTTTTCCTTATGCTAAATAGTCAATGCATAAGCTAGCCTATTAATTACTGACCATTGCTACCTTTTTGATGGCACAAGCCTCAATCAGACGGAACATGAGTGAAAATTGCTTGTCAAAAATGTCTGTAGTCGCCCTAGAATCCACCTTCAATGCTCCATCAGCAACATAGCAGCACCCTAACAATCAATCGGAAAAAACATGCAAATTGATTAGCAACAAACTAGCAACCACCTAGGACACCATAGCTACTGTATAGCACCTGGGGTAACATAGCAACCACCTGTTAATACCCTAGGAACCAGTTTGGATGCAATAGCAACCACTTAGCACCACTCTAATAACTGCCCAGCAATATCCTAGCAACAACTTACCAACCACCTAACAACTGCCTTGCAATACCCTAGTAACAACTTACCAATTACCTAACAACCACCTAGCGCAACCCTAGCAACAACTTACCAACCACCTAACAACTGCCATGCAATACCCTAGCAACAACTTATCAACCACCTAACAACTGCCTTGCAATACCCTCACAACAACTTACCAACCACCTAACAACTTTCTTGCAATACCATAGCAACAACTTATCAACCACCTAACAACTGCCTTGCAATACCCTAGCAACAACTTACCAACCACCTAACAACTGCCATGCAATACCATAGCAACAACTTACCAACCACCTAAAAACTTTCTTGGAATACCATAGCAACAACTTACCAACCACCTAGCAATACCCTAGCAACAGCTAACCATAGATAGATAGCTGTATTGCTCTATGCGCTTTTCACTTGCTCTGTTTGTTCAGGTATCTATGATTTGTATAACTATGATTTGTGTTACTGATTTCTAAATCAATGCAGATCAATCATCACCTTCAGATCAATGCAGGCATGTTACAGCAGGGAAGTGACCAAACTGTGCCATTGGCGGCCCACCAGGCCCAGAGTTGAGCCTCCTGTTGTAGAGGGATAGAGGGAGAGAGGGAGAACAGGCACACACCTTCGGTGAGGGAGGACACAGGCAAAGAGACCTCCATGCATGCGGCGGACTGGGCCTTGCGGAAGGGCGGTCGGCCGGGCCCCCTGCGGCTGAGGCGCGGCCCCTCGGGGCCCCCAGGGACACGGGGCCTCCCGGGCACGCAGGGCTGGGAGGTCGGGCTAGTGCAATGTCCATTCACATGATCTGTAAGAACGGGCAGAGCATTAGCACGAACGGAACTGAGGTTAGAAAATCTATGAGAGGAGGAAGAGAGAGAGAGAGAGAGAGAGAGAGAGAGAGAGAGAGAGAGAGATAGAGAAGAGAGTGAGACAAAAGAGAGAGGGAGATAACAGAGAGAAAGAAAGAGATGTGAAGGTCATAAAATGGGAAAGAAAAGAGAGAGAGAGAGAGAAAGAGAGAGACAACAGAGAAAGAAAGAAAAGAGGTGAAGATAAAACGAGAGAGAGACAGAGAAAAAAACAGAGAATAAGAAAGAGATGGGAAAGAAAAAAAGACAAGTAGAGAGACAGAGAGAGAGAAAGAAATGTAGAGGGACGAGAGAGGCAGTTAAGGAGAAATGGTCATATATAATAGCAGCATTGTCAGTGCAAGCTGATGAGGAAAACAAAGGAGAAGGTGAACCAGGAAAAGAAAGCAAGGAACAAAGGAAAAGAGGATAATAAAGAGGTAATGGCAGAGTTGTTACTAGCTAGAAATGAGCATTCACAGGGAATTTCTCATCCTCACTCAGCCTTCACAAAGAAAAAGTAGCAGATTTCTGGAAAATCAAAGCAGATTTTATTGGTGAAGAAGGCTGGAGAGATCTAGGAATATCTGCAGTAGAGCTTTTAACTGACTCGTCCTCCTTCTTCGAGTTGTGAAGGAGAACACGTCTCTGATTACTTTCAACTCTTGCCTTTCTCAGGATCTGAAGAGCATTGTCGTATATAGTTACTCAATGAGAGAGTATGCTGTGAAGTCAGCGCAGTACAAACACATTGTTAATTTGAGCTACTTACTTCTCCTGGAAAGTTTTTTAAACACTGGCCTATACAAGCCCCGCCCCCAAATCCATTCTGTCATAGCTACTGCAAGGCTGGTCAGTAAGATTCATCTGCTTGGGGAAGGGGTCCAAAGCACAACCCACGTTACCAAATGTTCTTCCACATTATGTGCAATTGCATGTTTCCACCAGAGAGGTCTCCAAATTCCCAAAACCTACATAGTGTAGCTTTAAACTCAGCAAATAAATAGAAATTGTGCACAGAAATTTGAAGATATGAAGGTAAGGGGAAATGACCTGCCCCAGGTGGAGGAGTTTAAGTATCTCGGGGTCTTATTCACGAGTGATGGGAAGAGGGATCGTGAGATCGGCCGCAGGCTGGGACAGGCGGCAGCAGTAATGCGGTCACTGTACCAGACTGTAGTGGTGAAGAGGGAGCTGAGCCATAAGGCAAAGCTCTCTGTTTACCGGTCGGTCTACATCCCGACCCTCACCTGTGGTCATGAGCTGTGGGTAATGACCGAAAGAATGAGATCACAAATACAAGCAGCGGAAATTAGTTTTCTTCACAGGGTGGTGGGCTACACTCTACTTGACAGGGTGAGGAGCTTGGTCATCCGGGAGGAACTTGGAGTAGAGTCGCTTCAGGTGTCAGTTCAGGTGGTTCGGGCATCTGATCCGGATGCCCCCTGGACGCCTCCCGGTGGGGGTGTATCAGGCACGGCCTACTGGGACGAGACCCCGGGGTTGAGGAGGTATTATATATATGCTGGAGGGATTATATCTCCAAGTTGGCCTGGGAGTGGCTGGGGGTCACTGCTGGGGAATGAGCTGGAGGAAGTTGCGGGGGACAGGGTCGTCTGGGATTCTCTGCTCTCCCAACTGCTAACGCAACCCTATCTGGATTAAGCGGTTAACGATGATGATGATGATGATGAATTTGAAGATAAATGTTTAAGGTTGGTCCCTGTAGAGGATATGTTAATGTGTTTCCAATCATTTTTCAAAACATGTTATTTGATCAGGGTGTTCACACTTTTGCATATGATTATATGAATTTTGGTAAAAATTTGAGCTGCAGCTTCTCGATAAAGTTGGTCTAAGCTCAAAACAGTAGCTACGGAAGAATGCATTTGTGGGTGGAGCATGGATAGCTCAACTGATATGGTAATAAATGATTATTAAACTTCTGCAGATTAGTCTTTCTTTTGTGGCATTATTAAAGGCTGGTGGTTTGGTGAGTAGGACTGAGGATGAGGAAGCCCAGAGGTGGAGCCCAGTCCGCGGGCGTCTACATGTTCGTTTCCCCTGGCCTGCACCGAGGGTCTGGATCATGGACATTCTGATAGAATTGTGAGTGATTTTATGGCATTTAGGATGTATCTGGTACACTCCAGGGGAAACCGGAGAACAATAGAGGACTATGGGGAGCATTTATAACCAGCCTGGCTCTAAACACCTACATACATGCTCTCCAACATACACACACACACATACACACACACACACACACCAGTTCAAAAGACTCACACACGTTTTACCAAACACATCGTTTCTCAGGAGCTGCAGCACTTCAAAACTAACGCCTACAACTCCTTTCATTTCTACATCAGTCTAACTTGCAATTGGTCTTTTCTTCTCAGAATAAATCAACATTTCCATATTACACATTCATCTACATTCAACCTTCCTTTGAATTAAGAGCAAACCCTTGAGCTTGAATGCATATTTTTATATGATTTGAACCCAAATAAAAGCCTTTAGCCTCAACAGTCCATTCTTCTGTCGCAGTATGAACCGCACCTGCTGAAAGAAAGTCGTTATTACTTAACTTTACACAGAGGTCATTTGGAAAGGAAGTGGTCAGCTCTCAGCGGGAAAGGTATGTTAGTTCAGCCGAGTGGCCCAGTCACACTAGCTTTTGTCAGCGCAATTTTGCGAGTGAAATTACATTCATTTCGAAGTGATTCGAATCGATGAGTAGAAACTTAAAGTTCAGTGGAATTGAAATCTTCGACTAATAGGACTACTGCCTCGTCTGCATTAAACTCTGGAGGGGCAGGACTTCGTATAGCAGCATTGAAGGTCCAAAATGGAGAAATCGTGAATTTTAGCAGTGTATAAGCAAAAGTCTTTTCATAATTCTTTACAACTGGCTATAAATAAATGAGAGAGCATGATACACAGTCAGTTTAGAGGCTGCATTTAATAGTATATTTTTTGTGATTTTGCTGTTTATGGTAGACAAGTTAAGCAGCTTGCTAACTGCTATGTTAACTGCTTGGCTATATGCTACATGCCTTTTCTTCTGTGCTTTTACCAAAGATGTTCTCCTCAAGACTCAGTCGAGTTGAGTCTTTACCAGATCATTTTAGTTTAGCTTCTGAAGGACAGAGTGAAGCGCCACACGCAATAAATGAAGTGTTTAAAGGAAAGAGGCAAAATAACTGGACACGGCTGGTTAGGCTGTAGTTTGTATAGCAAAGATGCTAGCTAGCTAGCATAACCACTAATCCAGCTGAAGTTTGTTTAAAAGGAGCATGATATGTAACTTAGCTTACATTAGTTAGCTACTTCAGCTAAATTAGATATTGCGCTAGATAGCATACTTGCTATCCCCAGTTAGCAAAATGTATTTGGCCGACTTGTGGACCGCATCCTTGGGTTTGTTCTGACCCAGTATACAGCTGGTTCCTCGGCCAAAATCTGGCCCAGACACTGTAAAGCAGGTAGAACTAATGGATGTGGCCCAAATCTGGCCCAAATTCATTGGTGGCCCACAACATGCATGCCAGAATTGGCTTACAAATATTGACATGAGGCAAAACCATATGAAGCTGTCCAGCATCTGGAAAGCAGGCATAACATCTGCCTGGTGGTCAACCAAGAACTGTGTAGGAAAAATAGAATTGGCCCAAAACTGTCTGCTATCTGGGTCCAAACTTAATGCTGACAAACCATTTCAAGTTGTTTAGTCTATTTCCTTTCCTTTCATGTTGTTTAGTCTATTTCCTTTCCTTTCAAGTTGTTTAGTCTATTTTCTTCCCTTTCAAGTTGTTTAGTCTATTTCCTTTCCTTTCAAGTAGTTTAGTCTATTTCCTTCCCTTTCAAGTTGTTTAGTCTATTTCTTTTTCTTTTAAGTTGTTTAATTTATTTCCTTTCCTTGTTTTAATGCAGGGAGCACTTCATCCTGTCCTTCAGACTGAAGGTTTGTCTATTATGAAAGGCATTGCAGACTGCGCACCCACATAGCAAAGAGGCCAGAAGACGTCAAGAAGTCAAACTCGTAACTTTATTGACATTAAGGTTGGGGGTCCTAATTTACTCTGTCTTCGAGTCAAGATGCAAGTTAGTTACGGGTGGTCTCTAGCTTTCAGTGCATATCGTTGATACGTTTGTTAGCTTGCTAAATGCACCAAAATGGAGGCTTATTTTTATCGTGAAGCTTCCGGAGCAGCTGTGGTCATTTTATGAGGCAACGCAAACTGCAAATTTCTAGTGTGACTAAGGCTTAAGCATGAGAGAAAGAACAGATAGGAGCAGGAAGAAGAGGACGACAGGGAAGAATTTGCAAAATAGAGTGACAGAGCACTTCTGAGAATATAGAAGAATGGTCCAATCACAATGAAGCAAGACCACTTGCAGACAATCAGTGCATGGCTGTTCTGAAGGAGAGGATGGTCCAATCACGATGGAGCAGGCTTTTGTAGAGTTAAAGAATGGTCCAATAGGGTTAGAGCATGGCAACTTTGAGGTATAGAATGGTCCAATTAGGATGGAGCAAGGCCATTTAGAGGTAAATGAACCAATCGCGATAGAGCGAGAGCGAGTTTTCAGAGCAAGGCTTTAGTAAAGAATGAGTTACAATGAGGTACAAACCACCTTCGTAAACACTTGCAAAATGTACACGTAGAAAGAACTGATAGAAAAGTGAACGAAAACAGATTTTAGGGGCCCGACACAGAAACGTGAGAAAGTGAAAAAGTGCAACGAACACAAAACAAACCGAAAGTTCCTCAGCATGGTGTCGGAACAGAACGATGAAGAGAAAAGTAGATGAGTGGAAAGAAAGAAAACGAAAACGAAGTTTAAAAAAAAAAAAACTGCTCGCTTTCGGCCTACCGTACCAAGATCAGTCTTAAGATCAGTGGGTAGACTTAACTTTCTGCCTGGTCCCTTTACTGAAAAGAAAGAAACAGGAAAGAAGGGAGTAATTAATCAATTAAACAAAACAAAACAAAAAAAAAGCAAAATGGCACCGGAAAAGAAAAGACAAGAACGGATGCGGGAGCAAGGAAATAAGTGGGGGAAATAAATGGATAGAATCAGTATTCACTCGTGCAGTGGTGCATACTGACATGACAGTTCGTGCCACTTCATGCCCAATCACGTTCCACCACCAGAAAACAGAGAGTCCACTGAGATAAACTATGCTGACCCCTTAACCCTTTGATTATTATTCACTTATTGATCTTAAAGCGGACCCAGAGTTTTAGAAATTTCTGCATTATTCCGTCGTTGAGGTGTAAGTCATTCAGAGTGGTTTGATGGTCCCCAACCCTGGTTCTACAGAGTTACCTTCCAGCAGAGCCCAGTTCCAACCACAATTTGCCACACCTGCTCCAGCTAATCAACCTCTTTCCAAGTCCCTGATTGGTAAAAATTAGTAGCAGAATTTTAAAATGTATCCTAAAAGATACAGGCAGCCAGTGCAGTTCTTTCTAAAGAGGAGTGATCTGATCTCTCTGTTTTGTTTTTGTTAGGATCCGTGCCGCTACACTGTGTACAAGTCTTAAAGGATGTATTGTTTTCTTAGGAAGCCCAGCAAGAAGAGCATTACAGTAATCAACTCTGCTTGAACAAGTTTCTCTGTGTTGCTCTGAGATAGAAAAGGCTGAGCGATATTTCTCAAATGATAAAACTACTTTAGTGATTACATACAGGATAAAACAGAGCTCAGAGTCTAAGATCACACCCAGGTTCAGCTTCAGGTTTGGTATACAGATCTAAAGAGACTTCTCATAGAGGCTTTTTCACTGAGTTTAGTACAGAGGATCAGTATTTCAGTTTTTTCTAGATTTAGTTGACATCCACTGAGAAATATCTGACACACCACTGGTCAGCCTGTCAACAGAGTCTTGATTGTCAGAAGGAATGGAAATGTATGAATCTGTGCCATCAGCATAGCTATGAAAATTGATGTTTCCCACTGACATCACCTAGAAACAACATGTATATAAAAAAAAGCAAAGGCCCTAAAACTGAACCTTGTGGGACTCCACAAGAAATGTTACCTTTTATTGATGAACGATTTCCCTAGATATCCAAACTAATGCCACCAAGGTCTGAGGAAATTACAAAGCAAAGCACAACTTTACCGACTGTGGAGTTCACGTTCCAAACACACAGCTTACTGACAATTGTTGTCATGGAGACTGTGTGGGCGTACCTGCTGTAGGATGGGTTTTTCAACAGCCTGAATGGGCTGTAGGCTGAACTTGAGGTGTGTTCAACAGACACGTCATCTCCTGTATGCAGAGTAATACAACTATACACAGTTTCTCCATTACATTTTTGAAATCTGAGCTGTTCCTTTCTGTCATTTACTCCCAGAACGGGGTTCTGGTGAAGTACAAGAGCAACGTAGCTTGTGGCACTTGAGCCAACCCAAGAGCTCTATTTCTTGCCTTGTGAAAAAATGTCTTAAAGAGTGGCCATATAAAACACAATCAAGCCCCCTCTGGGGTCTGTCTGTGCATGTACTTGTTTGTAACCATTTCATGTAGTAACTTTCTGTAAGGAAGCTTATAGAGGTGGACGTCTGGTTCCTATCGCCACCACTGTGAACCATTCTGACTCTGTAAGAATTTCTCTAGAATGGAGCATTACACACCAAACCACTCTGAACGACTCTGTTTACATCCTAATGATTTAATCATGCAGAAATCTTGAAAAAGGGGTTGAATTCCCTTTTAACACTTATGAAGCACCCTTTGTGTTTAAGGGGTTAAACTAGATCTACAGTAGTACCATAAATGTATGCTTTCAGCCTTTAAAATTGTAGGGACTCTTATGTATATATTGTAATATATTTTGCAAAATAAAAAGGATTTTGCATAAAACATCGTATTCAATAAGGAATCGCTGTGATCTGGAGGCATCTTCACAATACAAAAACCACAAACCACCAAAATCAAATAATATGAAATGAACATACAACACACCCACTCACACACACATCCACCCACCCACACACCCACACACAAAAACAGTCTTAAAATCATGGTATGAGGTCAAAATCAACAAAAATGCAACATTTTGCAAGCATTTTGCAGTCGTACTGCAAAGGTTGAGAGACATATTGCTGAATATCCACTATACTGTGGTTGTAACACTGCTGAAAAAAACACACGTGTCCTCTACAGGAAAAGGCCTCTTCTAAAGTCATTAAAATAATGAAATCTTGACACTTGCCCATCCTTAGTTTCTTGGCAGGAACATTATATTTCAGTCACACCAGTATTCAGTACTGCATCCCAAGAACTCTACAGTTGGCATAAACTGTGTGACTGATTCATTTTACAACTGAAAGTTGGCTGATTTCACATGAATGCATTTTCAAAGCTGTATGTTACTCAAAATCTTAATAATGAACACATAACCCTGTTAGAAAAACCAGTATAGACTATCATGGCTGGTCACCAGCAAAACCAGCATATTTTGTATTTTGGATGCTGGTATGCTGGTCAACCAGCATGACCATGCTGGGTGACCAGCCAAACCAGCACCAGACCATCACTTGACCAGCACTGGACCAGCAAAAACCAGCTTAGACCAGCATAGAATTCATGTTGGTCTACGCACATTTTGTCAGCAGGGGCGCAGTTAGCATTAGCATGCAGATTTGATAATGCTAACTAGCCTCCACTAGCTCTCCTGGGGCCAAAGACTTTTCATCGATTTTCATTCTGGTGGACCACATTTATGATGTTCAACCAATAGATTGTGCCATGGGATACACCTTGTATTAGCCTCATAGCTAGCTGGCTAGTGTTGTGATAAGACCCACTTTGACCGTTGGTTAGCTCTAGAGGTAATAGCAGAGAAAATAACACCAAAATATCCAATTCCAGCACCGCCTTACGCTGCCAAACATATCAAGAAAAAAAAAAAAGAACTGAAATCAAAAAGGAAAGAATAGATCACAGTACAGCACAGACGAGTAGCCGTGGCTTCCCAATGCTGGAGGGAGCTAAAGGGAGCTAAAGGGGAAGAAAATTCATGCTAACCTTGCTTTATATCTGCGAGATAGGTAAACACTTGGCATATCACTTCTAGTAGGCTCACTTCAGCAGGGACTCACTTCAACAAGGGTAAGGTTAACTAGCTAGCTAGCTAACTCTGGTGCTATTTAACAATAGCTAGCTAATTGGCTGTGCCAATTTCTGCTTCATAATATTTAGCACCTATTTAGCATCAGGGATCTTCCCTGATAGCAAGAGGATAGTGGACCACTGTCGGCCCACTGATGGCAAAGTTGGTGGTCCACTGGCGTTTTGCTCAGTGTCTTTGGGCGGCCCACTGGTGGTTACGCAGAGTCATAGACAAAATTCCACTTATCGTCGCTCATTTTCCATTTACAGTCCAGTTTACTGATTTTTCCTTCCTTCCTTTCTTTAGTTATACTTTGTAAATTAGTTTAGTAAATAATTCTAATTTTGCTCAGTGTCAGCAACATTTTCTACAAAATCATTTCATATGAGGCCCAGTCATTATTTCTTTCTCTCAGTTGTTTGTAATATTTGTCTAAAGTTATTTTCCAAAATAAAAGACTCTGTGCATTTAAAATCTGTTTGAGAAGATTAAAAACTAGTTAGAGCTTGTTCGCAGGACAGTAATCTGGGTGGTCCGAAGATGGACCAGCAGTGGCAAACAGTCAGTGGGGTGCCAACCTTATTATGCTAGCGTACCGATATATACTTGTTATCTAATAAAGGCAATTGGTCTATTTAGAGTTCTAGAACCATTTCATACTTACTCTGCATGGTGTTATCAGTCTTCTGATTGATGGAGAATGTGCTGTATATGGATCTATATAGAACTAAAAATGGTTCTTTATAGCACCAAAGAGGGTCCTTCTACTCCCTGATAGCAAGAGAACACTGGACCACTGTTGGCCCTCTGATTGCAAAGCTAGCGGCCCACTGGCATTTTGCTCAGTGTTTTCTGGGCGGTCCACCAGTGTTAGTCAAAATTCCACTTATCATCACTCATTTTTTACTCACAGTCCAATTTACTTAATTTTCCTTCCTTCTTTTCTGTAGTTATACTTTATAAAATAGTTTAGTAAATAATTTTAATCTAGCACAGTGTCAGCAACAACATTTTCTAAAAATCATTTTATATCAGGCCTAGTCATTATTTTTTTTCCTCTCAGTTGTTTGTAATTGTTTTTTAGTTTATTTTCTAAAATAAAAGTCTCTGTACATTTAAAATCTGAAGAACCATTTTACCATGCAAAGAACCACTTAAGCATGAAATGGTTCCATATAGGTTCTAAATAGAACCATTGCCTTTACCAAAGAACCAACTTTTTAAGTGTGTAGGCAGTGCATGAAGTGTTTTGGGGGCTTTGAGGAGAGCACTGAAGGGAGGGGCTGTATTTGTTTGGCTGTTTCAAAACAGCTAGTTTTAGCTAAAGCCTGCAAAAATTGATGACCCCATCTTTAACTACTGGGTGAAAATTTCTTTAGGTTATTCTTCCTGATGGCACCATCACGAGTAGCTTTCTTCAGTCCATAATCTTTAAAGGGACACTCTGGCAGACAACACTGACCAGAAATGTAACCATCGCTAAATCTGCTGTAAACCTGGTTACTCACCTTCTACATGCAGTAGCTTTTAGAGTGAGATTTTCTGATTTAAGGACTACTTTTCATGACATATCTTGAAGGTGGGCGGAGCTCTTGAAAAACTGCTTCGGGTGGATTTGATTTGAAATATTTCGTTCTTCTTTAGCAGAAGAAAAGCAGATAGCTCACGTTACTGCTAGAAAGCTGAATATCTATCATCAAATCATCATTACAGTGGAGAGAATGGATAACGAAAGAAATACCGATAAAGAAATGACTCATTAGAGGAGGACGACAACAAGCTAAAAGCTAAGTTAGAAAGGTAGCTA